ACACAGGCGGAAGAAACAAGAGAGTAGGAATGAAAAAAGATATGTCAAAGTAAAACTCTCAGATAAGGACAAGGAGAGGAACAAAATGAAAGACTACTACTGTAATAGATGCAAAGGGAGTTAAGTGAAAAAGACAGTAGAGGGTGATAAATCTTGCAAAGCTATAGCAGGCAGCTGGTCAAAGGCCATGGCCAGACAGACTACTTTAGCATTCTCAGTCCATTTCAAGGAAGAGGAGCCAATACAAAGGCTTGAGAAAGGCACTGTAACGTTTGAGAAGTACACAATCAGTACATTTGTCTTCTGCAGCAAATTTACAACAGATTTGGCTTCCAGTTCAGAGGGCTAAGCTTTTAAGATTGTTTTTTGTACTTTAAAAAGTGGGGGAGATCACAATATGCCAGCAGATCTTGCAAAGATTGCAAGTTAAAAAAAAGGACTTTATATGTGCCATAGATAAAAGTTTATGATTACACAGTCTCATCAAATATCAAATGTAATCATCATAAAGATAAAATATCTCAACACATGCTTGCAGAATGTTCTTAGCTGTGGCTTTTCAAGTGAAAATAAAGAGCAGGGTGCTACCCACAGCCCACTATGTTCCCCCATGGGGAGGATTTATATTGCATTTCTTCTGCTATACTACTGTATGTAATTATATATCCAGTGTGGAGTGTACTGTAAATATGAGTATAACTGGTAATTGATATGAAGGTGAGTGGACATTTTTAGTGTAAATATACCTGATGATCCAGTGTTTATTGTCCTCCAGGAAAGCCCAATGGTAGTTTACAGGCAGCAGGGAGCAGTTAGTGATTGTGATCACTCTCTGAGTTTCTGTGCAGTTGAGCACACAGCCAAAATCCACTGTAGTGGAGGAGAAATGGAGATTGGGGAAGTGGACCTCAGCGTGCAACTCTACCACATCTTGTTGTGGATGTCCCTGGTAGTGTATCACAAGGAACTGAAAAAGAAAGTCAATAAACTAAATCTATTTATCCAGAATGGTTGGTAGAACAGGTAAATATTGCAGCAGACTCCAGGATCCGCTGTCACATGCACTAAACTATGCTGTGCTCAGAAGGACACAATATGGCCCCTAATGAAATGCAAAGCAATGCAAAAAATGCGCCAGTGTTACCTCATCCATGATTCGTGATATCCGGTCCTGACAATAATCTGGATTAAAGCACACCCACACCTCAGCTTGTCTGCGATCACCTAAGAATATGGACTGGGAAAAGACATACAGCAGTAAGCTTCATTCAGAAACCTACCCTGGATTGATCAACTCACAGACTGGAAGTTAGAGCTATAATGAAATGAATAAATGGGCATTATAGGATTAAATGCCCTGAACATCTATCATGGAATCTCTAAGTCATCTTATAAATAGTAATGCTGTCCAGAGCATGTCATGAATACTGTTATGAATACTGCACTCTGCACTCCCCGGTCCTCCACTCATCTTCTGTCAGCTCCACGCTGCCTGCCTGTCCCGTCCAGAACCTGCTCTACCTCTGTCCCGTCTAGTACCTGCTCTGCCTCTGTCCCCCCTCTCCTCCAAGTAACCTGGCTTCCTTTGCATATTAAATAAACTCCTTTTGTGTTCCACTCCACCCGTTACCCGCCCTCCTGACAGAATGAACCAGCCAGACATGGATGCTGCGGACACAGCCAGCGAGCTATCAGCTCTGTGGCGGGAGATCACTGGCATTCAGCTCTGTGCCCACATGGAGGTCCTGATCCGGGGCCACCCCCATCTGGCACACCTCCTGAGAACATGTTACTCCAGGTGGAAGAGCTACAGGCTGAGGAGGACGTGTATTTAGACTCTTGCTGGCAGGATGGCTATTATTGGGACATCCTGCGGCAACATGACCGGTTGGATGGAGATGAGATGTTCCAGTACCACCCGGTCCCCAAGTCCTGAGCCCTGGGCGTTCTCTTCCTATCCTCTGGCCTGGAATCTGACGACCCCGAGCCCTTGCCTTTTGAGGGAACCTGGCTGGCCCTCTGTCCTGTGGGTCCAAGGAAAAAGACGGTGAAGAGAAAGGGATGCTCCAAACCAGAGCTGCAACCTCCGTCTCAGACTGTTCCCGAGCTGCAGCCCCTGTCTCAGCCTGCTCCACAGCTGCAGCCTCAGCCCCAGTCTGTCTCTGAACTGCAGCTTTCATCTCAGTCAGTCCTCGAGCTGCAGCCCAGTCCCCAGTCTACTTGACGACACCAGCCTCCGCAGCTGCAGCCTCCATCCCAGTCAGCTCCGTTACTGCAGCCTCCGTCCCAACCTGCTCTGTCGCTGCAGCCTCCATCTCCGTCTGTTCCCCAGCTGCAGCCTCCATCTCCACCAGTTCCCTAGCTGCAGGCTCTGTCCCAGTCTGTTTCCAGGCAGAAGCCCACTCCTCAGCCTGCCCTACAGCCCCAGTCTCCATCAGCCACACAGCTGCTGCTGCCTCTGCCAGTTCCTGAGCCTGTTCCCAAGTCTCAGCTGTCTCCGCTGGTGCCCGAGCTTGGGCTGCCCTTGTCTGTTCTGGAGCCACACCCCGTCTTCTGGGGTGGCGGTCATCAATGCAGAAGGCGACCAGCCCTGTCAGTTCCTTTTCATGCAGTGCCAGAGGATGATGTCAGGTACTGTAATGCAGCTCCACTCCGGTGCACCGACGAGATCGTCCCCGCTGGGAACTCAGCTCTCTGCCCATGTGCCGACGAAGAGGCTTGCACTGGGGTTCCCAAGTGGGTCGGCTTGCATGCCAACACCACCTCTGTTCCTGTCTCCATGTTGGTCCATGGTGTGCTGACGAGAGTGTCCCCGTTGAAGCTTTTTACCTTCAGTGCGCTGACAGAAGCATCCCTGCTGAGATCCCTACTTCTAAGTGCACCAAAAAAGACATTCCAGCAAGGACCTCAGGAACAGAGGAACGTCTTGCTGGCCGCTCCTGAGCGGCCTCTCTGTTCTAACTGCTTGGCTCCGAGGTCAGCCGCCTGAGTGACCTCTCATGTTCCCGGCCTGGTCTCTGGTCTGCTGGAGTGGTTGTGTCTGGCCGCTAGTGCCTGACCCTCCAGCCACCCCATCATGTTGGGTTCTCCTGGGTCGCCTCCTGGGTGTGGGCATCTTGTTTTTTTGTTTATGGGCACCCCGTTTACTTGGACTATTTCCCTTCTGTTTTGTGCACTTGTCCCCAGTCCCTCTCTTTTTGTTTTGGATACTTTGTGCCCTTGGACTTTGGGCTCGGTGGTCTTGTGTTTCTGTTTCTGCACTCTCCAGCACTCCGTTCTCCGGCTCTGCACTCTCCAGCTCTCCGTTCTCCGGCTCTGCACTCTTCAGCTCTCCGTTCCCCCGGCTCTGCACGTTCTGCACTCCCTTGTTCTCCACTCACCTTCTGTCAGCTCCACACTGCATACCTTGTCCCAAGCTACACGCTGCCTCCCTGTTCCATCCAGAACCTGCTCTACCTTTGTCCTGTCCAGTACCTGCTCTGCCTCTGTCCTCTCTCTCCTCCCAGTAACCTGCCTTCCTTTGCACATTAAATAAACTCCTTTTGTGTTCCACTCCCAGTGTGTCTGCATATTGGGTCTACCAGTTACCTGCCCGCCTGACAAAAAAGTTTAGTTCAACAACTGACTCAATAAATAAGTCAAATCAATGAACAAAGTGAGGTTGCTACTATATTTGCTACTAAAGTGTACATATACACAAAGCACGGAGAAAAAAAACAGCACTCAGTGTAACTCAAGTTACAGGTATACAATAAAAACATTCATAGTGTAATGCAAATGTGAATTTATTGTACTGATTAATACTTTAGCTCTAACAGCAAAAAATTTGAAATGTTTCTATGCTTAAATATGAAATATCAGTTTTGTCCAACCTTATATCCATTTCAGAGGGAAATATTTTTTACTCTACCTTTTTCTGACAGCTGGTTACTTAAGATAGGACAAGCTACAACAGTCAGTCTAGATAAAAACAGTATTAAATTGGAAGATGAGAAAATACGTAGTTCAGTTTTGATTAACTTTGCTAAGACTATAATTAAAGTGGGCCTGTGAACTTCTGCTATAAATTGCATGGGATTCCAGGGCAGTGATTCTTCAGATATGGGGCTCACAGATAAAAAATTTGGGGCTCCAAATAAAAAAAAAAAAAAACACAAACCAACCACCTCATTACAGTCACTGGTGACCACTTGGCAGAAATAACTCTACATGTACCTTAGTAGTAGCTGAGCTATGGTCTACTGGGCCTTCACACAGAGAGAATGGCTCTGCAAGAGAAAGCTCTATGGATAGAGACAGAGGTGACACATTCTCCAAAACCAGCTTCTCATACAGGGGCATCAGACTGTTTCCTGGGACCTGTAACACATATACAGTACAGTACATATAATGCTTCGGCAATTGATCCAACACAATAAAGACATGCCTGAGCTACAGGAATGTTACAGCACTATATACTGTACTCTGATATATACTAGGTGTACGGTAAATAAAAAATATCCTGGAGAGAGAGCACTGTTCATCTTGCTTTGACCAACCTTCTCTATGTAAAAGTTCAGGCGTTTGGAGGAAATGCTGAGCACTGGAGCTATAAAACGACAGGTGACATCTACAGACATGATGTGCTTGTGCTCATGACCCACAATGCCATGGCACACCAGACGCTCCTGTACAACCTGGCAGGAGAAGAAAATTGATTCTGTACATGTACTGCAACATGTATCGACTCTAATGGACATGCACTGGCTGTGTTTATGAAATGTGGAGCTTGAGTTAATTCACTTTAATTACTGCAAACCAACTGTCACCTCAGGGGAGTCTGAAGATGCCGTCAGCACCATGTCAGCAGAGCAGCCTGGGAAAAGCTCCACTCGAGAAGGGCTGAGGCTGAACACCGACTTCTCTCTGCTAGAGAGGAAAGCTTTACGGCCCAGAGACTCTTTCCTCCTGTGAGCGGAGATGGAAGGCAGGAAGTTTTGGCCAGGCAAGCTGTCCCCCTTGTGGGTTTTTGAGGAGGCCAGAAAGCCATCAATCCCCCAGTACATCCGGTGTATCCGTTGACCATAGTTGGTTAGCTTGAAGTGGTACTGGCATGACTCATGGCTTATAAGACATTCGGGCGGCACAGAGGTGAAGGCATACTGTCAGCACCACATTTTCAGTTCTCAATCACCATATCATTGATATTTAGTTAGACTTTAATTCATGAGTGGGACCTCTTTTACTGTACCTGAAGTATGTTCCTAAGTCAAGGCTGGGGGCAAAAGGCTTGTCACTGACAATTGTAGTGCCAGTGCCTGTAGCGGACAGAGGAACAGTGTGTGATAGACTGTCCTGGATAGACACTTCTAGCCTGTCCTGGAAGTGGAGAGAGTCCTTCAGGTGTGCCACAACCCTAAGCTCGAACTGGCTCTTTGGTGGCACTTTCCCTTCACTGGGTTCAACATGCCAAAATGACTTTCCATGGCTCTGAGGAAACAGAAACACAAACCTTTTGTTACTATGGGACATGTCTGATGTCTTTGGATGCGTAGAGATGAAACATGGGCACAGTAATACTTACAGCAGCTACTTTCATGACTGAAATGTGGTGCATGAAAATATATGGGGGCATTTTCCTGTAACTGTTCCACAAGCCATTTAAACCTATATCATAGATGGTGCTTGAAAGATAGATGTCTATATCATATAGCTGGATAATTAAATCAGTGTTTCAGTGCAGCATGAGAACTTAGAGGCAAAAGTAGAGCAGTGGCTCCATGCCTGATATAAGTAAGTAAGATGAAACATCCTCTTACTAGGATCAAGATAATGGGTAAAGTATGATATGCAATGAAACAATGGTATAGAAGGATGCTAAAGTATTCTTAAAAATGCAACAAGCTGTAACACATTAAAAAAATTAATTTTTCTTACATTGTCTTTGATGTAAGCAATAAAAAGGACTGAGGCAAGACAAACTCAGTATTTATCCTGTTTCTCAGATTTGTGGATCTTTATACTGGATTTATGAGATTTGGATTTATGATTTGCGAGTGACTTTGGAAGTCATAGATCATGTTTCAGCATTTGTATGATCAGGGGAAAGAGCCATCAAAAGCGAACTTGGGTGGATCGATACTTGGGTGACAGCTGTGGCTCAGGAGATAGAGCAGGGCGAAAAGTCAGTGGTTCGATACCCACACTCTTCAGTCCATGTGTTGAAGTGTCCTTGAACAGGACACCGTGCTCCCGGTGATATCACTGGTGTGTGAATGTGTCAATGTTTGGGAATGTTAATGGGCAAAATAGTGTGAACGCACTTCAAGTGTGCTGCAATGTATAGAAAAGTGCTATATAAATATAAGACAATTTACTTATATAAAATCCAATGTAAAGAAAAGAACTGATGTAAATCTAACATTCATCTTCAGTCTTTCAGCAAAGCAGATAAATGTGCTCACTGTACTGTATATATATCTAACAAAGCAGTGATCAGGACTGCAGCAATGTTCTATACAGCATCTCTGCTGATGGATGGCTGGAACATAAACTTTTAATTTTAATTGGGATTTTGAGAAAGAGTTTCCAAGAGATGCAGTGAAACCTGGGCACATTCACTGCCTATAGGACAACAGACTGTTGATCAATGGGGAAATCATGGAAATATGGCAATTGAACTGAAATGCAGTTTTTGTTTGATGTCTCTATTCAAAGCCAGTTCTTTACAAAAAAAGCCCGTAGTGAAGGAGTACCTGATAAAAACAAATGTTTCACACACACAAGTAACATTTGACCAGCAAATGACTTTGGGAGTCATAGATCACTTTTCAACATTATGATCAGGGGAAAGAGCCAGTGAAAGTGAACTTGGGCGGGTCGATATTTTGGTGATTGTGATAAAGGGGTGTGTAGAGTCAGAAGAGGAGAAGGAGCAGGGGGTTGAGTCCTTGGAGAGAGGACAAAGATGACTGGAATTTCAAAAATTACATCAAACCTACTGCATCCCACAGCTTGATTAGCATTGATTGCTCTTGAATGCAGCACAAATCAGAAAGGGTTAGAATCCAAATCTGAGCTGCATGCTGTTACAGATATTAACAGGACATCAAACTGTATAAATCCTGCATTGGTGCTGCAGTGACTACTACAGCCAGATAGTTCCCTCGTCAAATATTCTACAGTGGCATTTTTAGCTTTGTATCTCTATTTGTATTTTGACGGCTGAAATTAAAAACATGCTAAAAAATGTATTAGTAAAGGGTTCACTATGCAAACATAAAGATGTTCATGTCCAGACTGCAGTGCTTGGACACTGTTCACATTATACACTCTGATAATGTATGAAATAACTTATAAAAACTTAGGTTGGCTTAGGGATGAAGTCATAGTCAATTTTTTCACTCAAATGACAAGTAAGTGTGGATGCCTTTCACAATATCCATGCAATTTTCTGTCATTATGCCTATTTTCAGTACGTTGCTCTCTGCCAGCCTATTGATCGCGATATAATGTAATTCTAGGAGAATCTGCATCGACTGACTCTTGAGAACACAGAGAAGAAACTCCTTCCCTCAACACTGCAATATGGGTGAGCTGCAGTGTAACTGCAGCTGACCCTGTGTGTGTGTGTGTTTAAAATTGTGTGAGCACACAGTCAGATCCATGTCAGCTTAGGAAGTATTGAGGTATAGACCCAGTTACAAGTTTGTTCCCCGTGGATATCAGGCAGTGCTGTTAAGGCAATGCACAGTGAAAGAGAAGCCTCCAGGAGGTGAGTGAAAGAGTGAATATAATGACTTTTAGATCTCAGGTTGCTGGACAGTTTCAAGTTTCCTTTAGCAAGCATGATAAATAAAAGCAGGTACAACTATTCACTCCTGCACAACACAGCTATTCAATCTTGCAAGTCTCTTATGAAGACTTGCAAGAATCACATTCTCTTAATTTCAAAACTGAGAGTGTAAACACTGAAAGCAAGTCAGTTTCTTAAACAAATGTCAGATTAAATGTAAGAGAAGTTGTCACTGAACTGTCACTTGAACTGTGGGCATTGTATTGTAGACATTAACTGACATTTTGCACATAAAATTTTCAAGTTTCCCATTCTGAAATGACAAAATGACAGCATCTGATCAGTTTATAATAGAAGCATAAAGGAGTTTACTCTGAGGAAAATCACTTATTCTTCAGTGGTAATAGCGAAACTGAACAGGCAACTAAAAATTTCAAGTGCTATCAAAGCATTGAACATATTAACTCATGCATTACATGTCCAATTAGATGTACAATTAGTTAAAGACAGAAGGTTTGTAAACTAGCTAATGACGAAGTAGCCGGCTGGATATAAAGCTACTATATACAGAATGAAAACTAGATAATGATGCTTTCAGTTCATTACCTTATAGTCCCAGACATTGTAACATCCTGCTAGTAGATCTGAGGACCTGTAAAGTTTCTTTTTTCATCTTAATTATAACTGAGGTCATACAGTATGTGCGTTGATAGTTAAGTCTGTGTTGACATGTTTTTGTACCATGCGAGCAGTAAAGTGGGCTGGAATTGGTGACTGGTTTGACAGCTGCAGGGTTCTAGTGATGTCAGTCAGAACCGGGATTCTGCCAAAGTCCATCTTTGAGCTCTGAACATGAACCACTGGACCCTGCCCAATACATGATAAGAGCACCTCCTGGAGCAGAGTAAATAAGAAAAGAGGAGGATTAGAGAACAAAATATGGTAACCAACTTAGAGAAGAACACTGTGCCTGTATTCAGACATGGACACAGGTGACCTGAAATAGCATAGACCAAACCCGTTTGGGCTTGGTTTTAAAATGCATCAGATCACAAGTGGGCAGCACTAAATACAAGTGTAAACAGCATTTGACCACATATCTTTTATAGTGAAAACGCTAGTGTGCCCTGATGCATCTCTGACAAGGACATTAGATGAAAATACATGATCAATGTAAGACATTGTAGTTGCTTGGGTGAGAGTGTGCCAACATTCAAAAGAAGAAACGTGCAATATAAATCCATCGATATATTATGAAAGATTTTATAATACATCCATGTACAGATGTGACACGTGTCTACTTCTTCATCTTTGCTTAGGGAGACTACAACTGACAACACAAGTGGTCAGCTAGACACCTTGGAGGCGCATGTACATTGACAGGTGTGTACGGTGATGTTTCCCGGCTGCCCACTTGTATTCAGATCACTGAGACGCATTTTAATAGCAAGTGCAAATGGGACCATACACACTTAGAAGCGCACACTCATAAACAAACACACTTCCACTGACCAGGGGTGGCTGAACGCTACCAAACACAGCAATGCGTAGAATGTGATGCAGCCTTCCAACGACTTTAGCCAACAGGTACACAGGTAGCTCCTCTGAACTGTGAGGAAGAATCACTCCTCTGGGTACGGAACTACCATAAAGCAGAGATGGGCTCTCCTCGTATTCCTGAAAAGTATGAAAAGGGTAAAAATTGTGCTTTTAGTGCAGACATACAGATTCAGCATGTACTGTATGGTAAATATAAAATCACCATAACTGTTCAATGGTGACATAAATCACAACATTAGGCAGAGAGACCTAAAACATCCCCAAGATATAAGCTGTACTCCATTCATTAATTACTGCGATTGGTCATTTGTAATTGTACTTTGCAATGTGTTGAAGTCTTTTTTAGCTACCCTGTTTAGATTGGATTTTTTTTTAATTCTAAGTACTCTATTCTGTTTTGTCTAAAACAAGATTAGAAAGTCTTAGCCAGGTTAGCTGTTTCCCCATCTTTACAGTGTTTATGCTAAGCTAACCACTTGATTGATTGATGGATTTTATTCTTTCAAACATGTAAAGATAGTCGATATGTCAACACACATAATTTCACACATATCCACAAATGCTAATCCAATATCAATTTGCTTATACCTAGTACATGCTTGAACAGAGTAGGAAGAAGTCAGACTTATCCAGTCCTACCCCATGACATCATCTTACCATCATTGGTTTGCAAGCAGTATCTCTACATAAATAATTCTCTTCTACACCACACAAGTAATATACTAAAAAAATTATAACAGAATGTTAACATTCTTACATAATTACATTCTTAAATAATTATCTTCTACACCACACAAGTAACATACTAAAGAATTAATACAAGGTGTTAACATTCATACACCACACCCACAATGTTCCATCTAATCAATCATTAAGCCTGTTCTTGAATATATCTTGATTGACACATACCTTTATATTTATGTTTAAACTCATCAATTCTATTACTATTTTTATGTCCACACTTAAATTGTTCCATAGTTTTACCCCACTTATGGAAATACAAAATCTTTTTTTGGTTGTACATATAGCATGAATTTTATAATTTAACTGACCCCTTAAATTGTATCCCCCTTCCCTTTCATTAAATAGTTTTTGAATTCCACC